TTCATTTCACATGCCACTGAGCAGCCAACTGACAGCAATTAGCTTTGGTCACTACTAAACCAAGTTGAGTAACCACCCACCACACTTTGGACCCTGTAAAATAAAAAATACTTTTCAATAGTGACAAAGGCAATAAGATCTATATTTCATTATCAGTCCCTTAAGCCATCCAGTCTCCCTTTGTTTATTGTATTTAAATTTTGTATTGCATGTACTGTAGGATTGCAAACTCTCCCCCCCTGAGATTAGTGAGTAAATAAATTTCACCTGTACTAAAATTTGTATTGGATGGTCTCATAGGAATACAGTACTCTGTTGACTGAAACACCTAATCATCACTAGAGGGCAGCTGAGCAACGTTTGAAGTGTAAGTACTAAACAGGACATTTTATAAAGTGGCTAAAATAATTGTAAGTGAAGCCAACAAACCAGATAACCTGTTTTGCAGGCTTTGTAACTGGTGAGCACATGAGTAAATAATCAGAATGTAGGGGACCAAATAGTTTCACAAAAACACCCAAACTTTTGGCCCAATTTTTAAAGGTGATAAGCGCCTGCAGTTTCCATGGACTTCAATGGGAGCTGAGTTTGCTCAGCACCACTAAAAATCAAGCCACTGCTAGAACTGTTCACATATTTTGCTTTATTTCTACCATAATCTCTATTGTTTGTAGTTTGGGGGAACTGATCTCAGTAACATTCTTCGTGGACAAGCAGCCACTTACACTACCAACCCAGCGGCTCTCAAACTGTGCATCTGGACCCCATTTTAATAGGGTCACCAGGGCCAGCGCTGAAGCCTGAAACCTGCCACCCCAGGCTGAAGCTGAACTCAAAGGCTTCAGCCTGGGGCAGTAGGGCTCCAGCTCTGGCTCCGCCCGGGGTCGTGTAGTAATTTTTGTTGTCAGAAGGAGGTCGCGGTGCAATGAAGTTTGAGAACCGATGAGGCGGGTTAATCCTATTTCGTACACTAATAGTATAGAAATAGGATGAGATTTGTTAGATGAACCCCTTGGGCTAGCATTTTTGATGGGTGCTTCTTTTCTTGTGGGGAAGAAATAGAGGATTATTCGGGTTTGGGAGCTTACTGGTCCCCCTCTAACTTTGGATAGAGACAGGTTTCAGAGTAGCAGCCGTGTTAGTCTGTATCCGCAAAAAGAACAAGAGTACTAGTGGCACCTTAGAGACTAACAAATTTATTAGAGCATAAGCTTTCGTGGGCTACAACCCACTTCTTCGGATGCATCCGAAGAAGTGGG